ATTGCATCTTAGACAGACGCTCCCACGCTTTTAAGGGCCGTCATTACTCACCAAAGTAGGATCTTTGTTGTTGTTGTTATGTGCTGTTGAGTCGAATCCGACTCATAGCAACCCCTCCTTGGGTTTCCGAGGCAGTATCACTACAGAAGTAGATTGCCCAACCTTCCTTCTGAGGAGTGGCTGGTGGGTTTGAACAGCCAGCCTTCTGGTTAGCAGTCAAGTGCCTTTAGGAACTATGCTACCAGAGGTCCAAGTAGGATGTAGAACAATGTTTTTGTGTAGTACGTTATGCCAGTTGAGCTCGATGTCCCCGGTGACCATGGTCCCAAGCCCACAGGCTTAGCGACTTACTCCTTCAAAGTATTTATTTGGTGGTGGCTAAGAAGTTACCATAATTTTGACTCCTGTTATCTCTATTATATATGTGGGCATTTTTATAGCACATACAAATACATATATAGACACATTCTCTGCCAGATAAGTTTTAACTAATCAGGTGTGCTGCAGGAGGGCAGATTAGTGGGGCTCTGGGATTGGGGTGGAGGGAGCAGGGCAACAGGAAAGTTCTCAAGATTCCCTGCTTCAGGTCTGGGTTTTCCCTACCCACTTCCCGCTCCACTCCTGGAGCCTAGAGGAAGTTACCCCACCCTTGCAGTCCCCTGTCACGCCCTCCCATCAGTTACTGAGCTGCTCCGTCCCTAAAACAAGCATCGGCCTGAACCCTCTCATGCGTCTTCTCCCTTCCTGCTGCCACTGGTTTGACTTGAGGTGTCTTTCCTCCCAGGATACCACCACCAGAAAAAAATATGGGATTTTTTAAAAATCTGAAATTCAGATAAACAATGGATACCTTTTTTTTCGTATGCTGTTGTTCGGTGCCACCCAATAGCTTCGGACTCACAGTGATCCTATAAGTAACCGAAGGAAACACTCCTGGCCCTGTGCCTCCCTCACAATCACTGCTGTGTTTGAGCCCGTTATTGTAGCCACCATGTCAATCCACCTCATGGAGAGTCTTCCTCTTTCTTGCTGACCCTCTACTCTTCCGAGCATGATGTCCCTCTCCGGGGACCGGTCTCTCCTAAAAACACGTCCAAAGTACCTGAGACAGTCTCGCCATCCTCGCTTCTAAGAAATATTCTGGCTGCACTTCTTCCAAGGCAGATCTGTCCATTCTTCTGGCAGTCCGTGTATATTCAATATTCCTTGCCAACACCATAATTCACAATAACATCAGTTCTTCGCTCTTCCTTATTCATTGTCCAGCTTTCGAATGTACACGAGGCAACTAAAAATACCATAGCTTGGCTCAGGCACACCTTTGTCCTCAAAGTGACATCTTTGCTTTTTAACACTTTAAAGAGGTCTCTGCAGCAGATTTGCCCAATGCAATACATCATTCAATTTCTTGACTGCTGCTTCCAGTCAAGAAATCCGTTGATTGTGGATCCAAGTAAAATGAAATCCTTGACAACTTCAACTTTTCTCTCTTTATCATGATGTTGTTTATTGTATTTTTAAGTATGTTGTTGTTGTTGTTAGGTGCCATAAAGTCATCTCCAACTCATAGTGACCCTATGCACAGCAGAATGAAACACTGCCCGATCCTATGCCAGCTCCACAACCCCTGCTATACCTGAGCCCATCGTAGCCACCATGTCAGTCCGTCTTGTTGAGGGCCTTCCCCTCTTTCGTTGACCCTCCACTTTACCAAGCATGATATCCTTTTCCAAGGAATGGTCTTTTCTGACAACATGATCAAAGTAGGTACTTTTTTTTAGTATGTTGTTGTTGTTGTTATTTG